TCTATATGGTGATATGATAGTACCATGATAGTTACATGCCAGTTCTTCACTTCATTTTTTCTTTTTTTTTTTTTTTTTTTTTTTTTTTTTTTTTTTTTGTTATCTATATATATATAATTGCTGGCATGTAGCATTTAATAAAACATTTAATAAAACCTCAAAATTTTCCCGCCTAAAGCCGTTACAAACCAAAATTACTTTTTTTAAGTAAAATTTGTAATGGAAATTAATCAATGATTAATTACAACCATAAAGGTTTCAATCTGTAGTCCTTACCGCAAATCATTCAATTCCAAAGAGGAAATATTAAGGTATAAGCTTGAAAACTGTTTATTTGGAATTTCAATAATGTCACTCCAACTGCAGTGTGAAATTTTTGAAAATTGAGATTGTGAAGTTTTTGATAATTGAGATTATACACTGCAAACTTGACATATGGAATGAATCCCTAGATATTGAGTGATTGGTAAATTATTTTTAAAATTGTATTTAAAAAGTTGATTTTTGTAAAATGAACACTTTTTTTTTTTCGAAACGTAATAATTATATATAGCAAAATAATATAATAAAACTATTTGGATTTCCCGCTTACAAAATTCTATCATTAATGTCAATTTATATTTTCTTTCCACTTTATTCATCTTCTTTTTGTAATGTTCCCAACCATATATATTAAACCTTTCTTTATATGTATATAAGTGCTAGCAATCTAATAAATAAAACCTTATAATTTTTACCTCATAAATTATACTTACGTGAAACCTAACTTTGCAAAGCTTATTCTGCTAATTAAGACTAAAATCGTTACATTTTATATTAATTGATTATATCATATAATAGTTATTATTTAAATTAATATTTATATTTTACACGAAATGATATATTAATGTTACATAAACATAAAACATTATATTGTAAAACTTTTTGTTCAAGTTATCTAAAATCAGTATTATATTTTTTTATCTAATTAAGTGATTTTTTTAAATAAATTAATTTATTTTAATGTTATATAAAAATCCCTTAAAATCGCATTAGCAATTGTTATAATAAATTTAATATTTTTAGTGAATTAATTCATCTCTCCAAATTACAACTATTATATTATTCATCATATTTTGTGCAATCAATATAGTGATTCATATGCAATCAAATAGGTACGTACTATTTATTATATTCAATGATCAAATTTTATAACATAATACCATTATCTAACTTATAATTTTGTTTTTATATGCATAAATAAAACTTATTATACTCTATGTTTAAAATTTAACCGCAATATCTAACTTATAATTTTAATATTATATGCATATAAATAACTTATAATACTTTATTTATCTGTGCAAATGCACAGGTGGAATACTAGTTTTTAATATTAAGTGTGACAAAAAAATCGAGTCAAATCGAGCAATTTGGTCCGGTGTCATGTGGTGCTGCGTATCGGTTATTTCAGTGTAGAATTTTTTTGTTCAATTTGGTTAATTTTTACTTCTTTTTTTTTTTTATGTGTCGTGCTATTATTGAATAATCTGTTTTTACCAGTTTTGTTTTTATTTCTTCGGTTTGGTGTCGTTTTAAGATTTTTCTTTTGTCGCACATCTCTGGCCAACACCGGTTCTCACCTCCCGCGCCATCATCTCCGACGTGACCCGACGAGTCATCGCCTGAAAGCCCGTCCCCGTCGCCGGCGCGTGCGCTTCTCACGCGCCTAGTCTTCGTCGTGACGCTGAGCCCTTTGGTCGGCGCGTGTGGTCCACCCCAATCTCCGTTTGCCGCCGTCTTTCAGCCGCCGACTCTTGTCGACGTCGGCTACCTTGTGGTGTGCTCGGATTTGCCGTTTGCCGCCGCCTTTCAGCCGCCGACTCTTGTCGACGTCGGCTA